TTTTTAATTTTTTTTTTTTACAAATCTCTTTCCGGTAAATGATGTTCTCCTGCATCAAAAATTTCAAAAACTTATTTGAAGACAGATATCCCATAGGTTCGAGTGAAAGATTCATTAGGTCTTGTCTGTAAGTCAGAAATTTGAGCGAAAAGTTCGATGTTTGAGAGAAGCGCCCAATTTGAAAGTAAACTCATAATTCGAAATATAGTATCAAAAATCCTAATTTGCATATCTGAATATTCCGGGGCATGGCTATAGTATTAGTGTTACAGTTTCCAACTACCTTACAAGTTTTTGCTAACATGACATAGGGTTCCTCTTGTCGCTTAGCAAATCATTACTGTGCGGATACTCCAACCGGGACCACTTTGATAAAGTAGTGTCATTTATCAATCACATTGCGACATTTAGTTCAATATTTTTGACCAGCCAATCAGATAGCACATCGATTTAATGAGAGGGAGAGAACACGATAATCTGATTGGCTGACGCATGTTATCAGTTTAATCTCTGTCTGGTTTACTGTTTACTGATTGGTCAGTTTTATTCGAGTGGCCCCGGTTGGCGTGTCTGCACAGCAATAAACAACTGTTCAATTTCCATTCTTTTTTCAAACAAAGGTTCTTCCTGGAAACAGAGATCGAAACACAGTGAAAGTGAACTTGTTTAACCCTCCAATCATCGCGCGCTTTGTTCGTATCTACCCATGGACTTGGCATGCACATGTGTCGCTGAGGGCTGAGCTGTATGGATTCAACCAAGGTGAGTCTGCCCCACGTTTTCATGCACACTGATTGTGTTGCACAACAATATAGGATGCGTAAGGAAAGTGAAATCGTCGATGAGACAAGTCTTAAAATAATACATTAGCAATTACTAAATGGCGTATTTTTCAAGAAAGTTAAAGAAACTCTCTTGAAAGTCATTTGCCCATTTGAAGTTTTTAAAATTAAAAGCGCAACTTTCGTTGCAATTTAGCGTTTTTTTTCTGGGCTCGAAAATAACCCTGAAATTAACCCTGAAATATGCATGAAATATCTCATTAAACTCACTAAAGAAGTTAATATATTATTTAAAGAATGGTTTTCCATTGTACAAACAATGTTACCCCCAACGAACAATAGTATGAAGCATTCAATGCAGTATTTTGATAAAAAAATTTTGATTTTTTATTYTATTTTAGGATCAAATAAAATTCCTCTTGGTCTGGAAGATGGCACGATCCCCAACTATTCCATCAGAGCCTCCTCACAGTGGGATGGTAACCATGCACCATATCTTGCTCGTCTTAACAACATTAGACGCGGAAGGAAGGTTGGTGGATGGTCTTCCAGAAGGAACAGCCGAGGACAATGGATCCAGGTTGCTTTAGGATCATACACAACCATCACAGGCATTCGTACTCAAGGTCGTCAAGATGCCAACCAGTGGGTCAAGACATACACTGTGGCCTACAGTAACAATGGAAGGCACTTCAGAACGTACAGAGTTCGTAGACGTGTTAAGGTAAATGATAAGAATTAATTTAATTGTCTAGTATCACTGCATATATTTAGAGTGTAAAGTTCGTCTTCTAAAAGATGCCCTACCAAAATAAGGAATAAATCCCATACCTAGACGGAATTTACCCTTTACGCTTAGTTGAAACATGGTGACTAAATTAATACAATTACAAGAATCGCTAGTTTTGTATGTATAACATAATTGTTTTGAATTGATCACACGTTATATTATCAAATTGCCGTGATAAGAAAATGAGAAAAATTCCAATCAAGTCATGATTATTTCTGTTATTTTTTACAGGTTTTCTTGGGAAATAGTAACAGAAACAGCGTTGTAACTCGTCGACTGAGACCGGCAATTAGAGCTCGTTACATCAGAATCTATCCAAGAACCTGGCAGGGTCATATGTCACTGAGAATGGAAGTACTTGGGAGACGAAAACGTAAGTGACAATCTATTTTTACTTACTGAAAACAGTTTTTAAAAAACTTTCCAACTTTGACCACATAAACTGATTTATAGCACGAAAAGGAAAACCTCCACGCCGATTCCGCGCTCTTGGAATGCAGAGCGGCCGTATCCGTAACAACCAGATTCGTGCATCCTCAAACTGGGACCGTAACCACGGTGCCTTCTTAGGTAGACTCAACAGACGTGCACGAGGAAGATATCAAGGTGGTTGGTCAGCAAGACATAATAACCGTAACCAGTACATACAGGTAATACATATATCAATAATTCCATCATGTGAAACTTCATGAGAAATACTATTTTCCTTTTTTTTTATTTCAGGTAACTTTCCGTCGCCCAAAAATAGTAACAGCCGTTGCTACGCAAGGTCGCCAGAACGCTAACCAATGGGTTACTCGCTACTACATAAGCTTCAGTTTGGATAACTTACACTACGTGCCGTACAGGTCACTTGGTCGAAAAAAGGTATGGTTACTTACTTCCACGATGAAGGATTCGACAAAATGATTTTTAATATTCTTTGGAATTAAACTACAGTCAACTCATTTTACGCAGACACCATCTGAGCCGTCACTTAGTGTCCGTACTTGATATCGTTATTACGCTATGAGTATTTTTCGCCAGGGATCTTGCTCCTCTCCGCAATAGAGGGTTTTTACGTGACGTCACAGCGGCCATCTTGAACTCTAGAGGTTTTGCGCCATCACGTTACGGCCGCCATGTTAGATGGCAGGAACAATATAATCGTTTTACATAAAAAATAATTCAATTCCCAAGAGCAAAGGATGTTATTGTTCCGCCATCTTACCACAGGCAGTCCAAGCTGGATTATGGCGCGGGCACGTGATGGTGCAAAACCTCTATTTGGATGCAAAAACTGTGCAGAAATTTTCTATTGTTTTATATACCAATATAGCTTCCTTGTCACTTGACCGCTCTATAGGGATGTGTTTGTAATAACGGGGTTTCCACAAGGCAAGAATTGACTGTAATGTGGTTTTGCTGATGCTATTATAGTCCAGTTCATTTTCATTGGACCCTTCTTCGATGCGAGGGTAACATGAAAATACAAAAGACATGCCCCAAATACTATTTGAGAAAAGTGTGATTTCTTATGTATTTTCATGTTAGCCTCACATCCACGACGTTGGCACTTTTGGGAAGGGTCCATTGTTTTGCTATTAGTTTTGCTGGACTTTAAAATCTAATTTTGAAAATCACTCAAGACTGATTGACATTTTGGCGTTTTTGAAACCAAAACCCTTAAGTGACGCTATTTTTTAAAAACGCATCGAGATGAATTTGGCAATGACTTACAAATTCCTCGCGCGCTGATTGGTTATTTTTATCATCAATTTTTTTTTTCCTATCCGACATTCACTTATTCATTCATTCATACTTTTTTTTATCAACAGATATTCCGTGGAAACAAGAACCGCAATGCAATAGTTCGACACGTACTGAGACCAAACATCAAAGCAAAAAGCATTCGCATTCACCCAGTCAGCTGGAGAGGTCATATCTCCATGAGATTGGAGCTGTATGGACGAAACGCTGGTATGTCTTAATTAAAAGCAAATACAAATACATTACTTTTATTTGGTATAATAGCTACGAAATTTAAAAAGAACTGAAGAGTTTTTTTTGCATAGAGGATCTTTGTCATACTTCATTTAGAGTGAAAACACACGCATATTTGTTTGCTTGTTAAGTTATAATTTAACCAAAATAGCCCACACCTCTGGAAATTATGTGGGATAGGGATCCTGATAAACAATGATAATATCATGTTCTTCCCTATAATTTCTCTTTTAAAAAAACTGACCTCGAAGTTTTCTACATATTGCTCCACAGCTATCAGATATCTACCTCTTGGAGTCGAAGATGGCCGTATTCCTGCTTCAGCATTCAGCGCCTCATCCATGTGGGACCGCAAGCACAGACCAGCAAATGCTAGACTCAACTTATATCGAAGGGGACAAGCAGGGGCATGGTGTTCTAGACACAACAGATATGGCCAGTGGTTACAAATTGATATTGGAAGCCTCGCTCGTGTGACTGGTATTGCTACCCAGGGACGACAAGATCATAGTCAATGGGTGACAAGATACCGACTGAGGTACAGCAGAGACGGACGAAGATTCCCGTTCTACGGAGCCGGCAGAAGTATCTATGTAAGTCTACGTTAAATAAAGAGATACGTGGCTGGCATGATTTGATAAGAAAGTAGCTAAAAGTTTCTGTAGGATTAGAAGGAAATAGTATTGCTACTATTTTTAGGAATAATGTGTAAACTGCGTGTTTTTACAGAGTTTCCGTGGCAACAAAGACAGGACTTCCGTGGTTTTCCACCGTCTACGACCCTTCTCTGCTCGATATGTCCGTATCTACCCACAATCCTGGCATAGGCATATGTCTATGAGAGTTGAACTTTATGGTCGAAGATACGGTAATTTAATTTTTTTTAAATACTTTGTCAGTTCGGTCTCACACACACACAGTTTTCTAGTAAATTTACTTGTTTATGGTTTCAGTTGTACTTATGCTTGTGACAAATGTTCTTTGTTTTTCTAAGCTCGAACCCGCCTTCCACTCCCATGTGGTATTTCCAACAAACGTCTACCCAACAGATACATCACAGCTTCAAGTCAATGGAACAAATACCACGCCCCATGGCTTGCTCGTCTACACCTGAAGCGAAGAGGAAGGTACATGGGTGGATGGTCTGCCAAGAGAAACAGACGTGGAGAATGGATTCAGTTTGACTTGAGAAGGTTTAAAAAGATCTACAAGATTGCTACCCAAGGTCGTAGCCACTACAACCAGTTTGTAAAGAGTTACATTGTTAAGTACAGTGTAGACGGTCGACGCTGGGTGCCCTACAAAGTGAACAGTGTGGTTAAGGTATGAAATTTTAAGCTGAATTAAAGGATTTGAAAATTCAGACGATGCTAAGCGATGCTTAACAACTACAGTTTGAGTCAATAATTTGAAGTATGTATTTTTCATTCCATTAAGGTTCTTCCTGGAAACAGAGATCGAAACACAGTGAAAGTGAACTTATTTAACCCTCCAATCATTGCTCGCTTTGTGCGTATCTATCCATGGACTTGGCATGCACATGTGTCGCTGAGGGCTGAGCTGTATGGCTTCAATCAACGTAAGTTTTTAAGTATCAGCTATTGAACAATCGGCCATTGATGGCTTCTAGGGTTCGCTAGACTAAAGTACTTCGACCGAGGTGCCAAATTCCATTATTTATCAATTGACACAGTTTTCTTTGTTATTCACAAGGGTTTATTTAGTTTTGCTATAACCCTCATTATAAATGCGAGGTCAATATATAGTAATTAACCAGGTTAAAAACTATATATTGACTTCGCATTTATAATGAGCAACATTTGATAGAAAACCTTCTTAATTGATAAATGAAATACTTAATTACCTCGAACGTCGGCGATAAGCCTATACATCCCTCGGGCCTGCGACCCTCGGGATGCATATGGCTTATGGCCTCCGTTTTCGGTAATGAACTCATACGTCTTTCATAATAATTTATTTTTATTGTCTATTTTAGGATACAATAAACTTCCTCTTGGTCTGGAAGACGGCAAGATCCCTAACTATGCCATCAGAGCCTCCTCACAGTGGGATGGTAACCATGCACCATATCTTGCTCGTCTTAACAACATTAGACGCGGAAGGAAAGTTGGTGGATGGTCTTCCAGAAGGAACAGCCGAGGACAATGGATCCAGGTTGCTTTAGGATCATACACAACCATCACAGGCATTCGCACTCAAGGTCGTCAAGATGCAAACCAGTGGGTCAAGACATACACTGTGGCTTACAGCAACAATGGAAGGAACTTCAGAACATACAAAGTCCGTGGACGCGCCAGGGTAAATAGAGAAGTAGAGTTAATGTTTTTTCCGTATATCGCTCCAATCAAAAGGTCATTTATGCGAAGGGAGTAAGGCCTCTACCCTTGTATTTGCGATGTAATTTGCTAAAATCTAACACTACCTAAATCTTTTAGATAGAACAGTCACCCAACAAATTGGCGACCATGCTGCTCCTTTTCCTTTGCGTGTAAGTGGTGTTTAACAGTTTTTCGGATTCTCATTGCAGATCTTTTTAGCAAATAGCAATCGAAACACTGTTGTAACTCGTTATTTGAGACCTGCAATTCGAGCACGTTACGTCAGAATCTATCCAAGAACCTGGCAGGGTCATATGTCATTGAGAATGGAATTACTTGGAAGACGAAAACGTAAGTATTTGGGAATGAGAAGAAATAGGAGATAAAGAGCATATTAATCTTTACAAGAGAAGCTGAATTAAGCTAGGTTTGCAATATAGTGTCAGGAACTAGTAACGGAGTGCTAGTAATATTGCTTAGAGCTGACATTACATTTATAATCATGTTCTTACTGTATCCAAATGCCGGTAAAAATGAGAGTAGTACAATTTACAATAATACAATAATCTCACCTAGCATTTTTACATATAATTTCGGTGATCGTTCTCCACGGTTTAGTATCTTTTTCCAAGAGGACTAGAAACATTAGTAAAAGGCCTTAAATTCAAGTTAAACAGCTTAATATGATATTTATTATTATTTTACTATCATTATCAATAATACCGTTATTATCGATGTTATTATCAATACAGAAGGTCCAATAAAGCCTCCAAGACGAGCAAAAGCACTTGGAATGCAGAGCGGTCGTATCCGTAACAACCAGATCCGTGCATCCTCAAACTGGAACCGTTACCACGGTGCCTTCTTGGCCAGACTAAACAGACGTGCACGAGGAAGATATCAAGGTGGTTGGTCAGCAAGACACAATAACCGTAACCAGTATATACAGGTCTGTCTTTATTTAAATCTCCTTAAATCCATAAGAATTACCTGTTCTGATTTGAAAACAATTTGTAATTTATTTTTTGCCAACTTTATTTGTATAGGTAAAATTCCGTCGCGCCAAAAAAATTACGGCAGTTGCAACACAAGGTCGCCAGAACGCCAACCAATGGGTTACAAGATACTACATATCCTATAGTTTGGATAACATACGCTACGTGCCGTATCAAGCAGGTGGTCGTAAAAAGGTAATTTTGTAGAGTACTTAATTTTGCTTTTCAATGAACCCACTTTGTTGACATATTACTTACGTTACCACGCAGACAAACCTAACTGCTGGGACATAAAGACCAAATGACCAAATTCTAACTCACTTATCACTACATTTCAACACGTTTTATTTATTTTTTGTCTGGGTTACCCTATTCCAATACGAGGAAAAAGTGCAAGCAAATATTTTCTTTTCTTAGTTTCGACTGAAATACTTTATATTTCTGATGTAATTATAACGATCGATTTAATTAAAAGAAAGAAAGAAAACAAGAAGTTCTATGTCTAGAATATCATGGCTTGAACTGCCACTGTTTCAATTCTTTGACGACAAACCTTATGTTGAATTATTGTTATTTTTAACTCTTTTAGATATTTGCTGCCAACCGTAATCGTAACTCAGTGGTTCTCAGAAGACTACGACCAGCCATCAGAGCTCTGAGTGTTCGCATCCACCCCGTCAGCTGGAAATCACATATTTCCATGAGGCTGGAACTGTACGGAAGAAATGCAGGTTGGTTGATCTTCTTGTTTGAGGAAAGGGTGCATAAGTTATCCCAAATTCCCTCCTCCTCGAAAAATGGTCTTGCACACTTTTTTTTCTTTTCGAAAGTTTAATGATTTTTATCGCAGATGATTCTGTGGTCTTCAAAAACAGCGAAAAGCATCGAATGTGAAACTGGTGTAGTATACGTTGGCAACCACGTTTCTCTTCCCATTAGAATGAAGAGGTTATTTTTCATGCAATCTTAAAAGTACGCTCTAATGCTTTAGAATGTGCATTAGAAAATGTTCTCATTAAAACTGACACCATTAATTTCAGCTTTAAATCGCTTGCCCCTTGGTGTTGAAGATCGTCGTATTCCAGACCGTGCTTTCAGTGCCTCGTCCATCTGGGACCACAATCACAGAGCATCAAACGCAAGACTCAACACCGTTCGACGAGGACGTAGAACAGGAGCGTGGTCTGCTAGACACAATCGACGTAGACAGTGGCTTCAGGTTGATATTGGAAGTCTTGCCCGAGTTACCGGTATTGCTACCCAAGGACGACAAGACGCAAATCAATGGGTGAGAAGCTTCTACGTAACGTATAGTACAAATGGAAGGCGATTTGTACCCTACAGGCATGGAAGGCGAACAGTGGTAAGCATAAAAAAGCATAACATTTAAAAAATATGTCACATTTTACGGCTAATGTATGATTGAGGCATCCAAATTTACAGCATGTTGGTGGAACTAAAAACCTATTTCTACAATATAAAAATATATGGCGTACTGCTATCATTTGTTACGATTTTTAATGCATGCTATGATAAAGACGGGTAGGACAAGGAAACTGGGAGGATAGTAGAGCATCAATGAAAAAAATCGTTAGAGTAGGTTCCAGTTACTGGAACAATATCTTTGAGCGACAGTTGTCTATAGACTCCTCCCAGCACTTCGGAATGCATCTCAATTTGGAAGGCAAAACGACAGGTTTCCAATCTCAGGAAAATAATCAGTCCAAATTCCAAATTGAGCTGCTTTGACGTCACATGTTAGGAGTCTATTGCCAGGATTGCCTGACTCGATTGTTTGTCGATCAGCGCGTATATTAACAGAACTTTCACCAATTCACTGACCACAAAAGAATGGTCGTACTTGTCGAAATTAAACTTCACAAAACATAATAAACGTATAGAAATTCAGTTTAACCTCGAATTGAAACAATTGTTTCGTCGTCATTCGTCGTCACTGAATTCGGGAAAGGTGTATGAAAGCAGTGGTAAAAAACCTGAACACGTGCTCATTATTAACGTTTCTTACTTTAGACATTCCGAGGAAATAGTAACAGAAATACCATAGTATACAACAGATTTGTTCGTCCTCTGAGAGCACGTTTTGTACGTGTTTACCCAAGAAGCTGGCAGGGACACATTTCTATGAGGTTGGAACTGTATGGACGAAGATACGGTTAGTACGGCATTCATTGCATAATTCCATTTTTGAAAGTTTTCTAGTGTAATGAAACAAAATGATTTGAAGGTTATACTTGATTTCATGTTTTTATGTAATCCTAATGATTCCTTATAGATCAAGATAACAATATCCAAGAAATTGCAATTTTCGTATTTTAAGTTTTGATTTTACCTTTTCGTTAATCAGCTCGCCGTCCTCGTGTATTCCCAAGTGGTATTTCCAATGGCCGTCTGCCCAACAGATACATCACAGCGTCCAGTCAATGGGACAAAAACCACGCGCCATGGCTTGCTCGTCTGAATCGCAAACGACGTGGACGTCTAGTTGGAGGATGGTCAGCTCGTAAAAATAACAGGGGTCAATGGATTCAGTTTAACTTGAGAGCACCAAAGAGGATTTACAAGATTGTAACTCAAGGAAGAAGCGACACGAACCAGTGGGTGAAAAGCTTTATCATCCGTTACAGTGTAGATGGAAGACGATGGGTGTGGTACAAAAGGAATAGTGTAACTAAGGTACAAATTGTCTAGATTTTATGCATAAATACAGCGCCTATAAAATATTTTTGCGGCAAACGTTCCTTTAGTTGATGTTTGATAGTGATTAGTGGGTAGTGTTCAGGATTCGCTTTTTCTTATGGGTGTGGTACAAAAACAAAAACAAAAAATTCGTATGGAATTTTCAAAAAAAAATATAGTAAAAATGCTGGATTTAAAAATATATGCTCTCATTTCTTGCAGGTGTTTCCTGGAAACCGCGACAGAAATTCCTTGAGAGAAAACAATTTTGGTACACCAATCACAGCTCAGTATATCCGCATTTACCCAAGAACATGGCACGCACACGTATCTCTCAGGGCGGAGCTCTATGTTAGACATGCATGTAAGTAACAAAAAAAATATTCTAATCTCTACTGTAAACAAATGCAGTCACGTTGGTGGGTAGTTTTGGGTTGTTGAACAGCTTCTGGTAAAATATTTAATGCACATGTGTTCCGTTAATTTAACTTTTCTTTTTTTTACAGCTCGATATGAGTTGCCCATGGGTGTCGAAGACGGATTGATTCCTTCCAGAAACTTCAGAGCTTCGTCGCAATGGGACCGCAACCATGGACCATCACGCGCTCGACTCAACACTGTTCGACGTGGAAGGAAGACAGGAGCATGGTCTGCTAGAAAGAATAATAGACGACAATGGATCCAAGTCGACTTTGGAAGAGCAACCATCGTCAGTAAGATTCTTACTCAAGGTCGTCAAGATGCGAACCAGTGGGTCAAGTCATACACTGTATCGTACAGCAACAATGGAAGACGCTTCAGATCCTATAGAGTAAGAAGAAGAGTGAGGGTAAGTTATTCATTGATAATCAAAGTTTGTACCTCTATTTTACAAAGAATGTGCAGAAATGAAAGTTAACATCGATTTACTTGGGAATACTCTCACTGGAAAGCAAATAACTTTATGCAATCATTTTTAGGTTTTCTTAGCCAACTCAGATAGAAACACTGTTGTTATTCGTCGCTTGAAACCATACATTCGCACTCGATTTATCCGAATCCATCCTCGAACCTGGCAATCTCACATTTCTATGAGAATTGCATTCAGGGGTAAACGTTTAGGTAAGAAACTATTTCTATGGTTTGAACTCATTTTAAAAAAAAAAGGCATTTATTAAAAAAAAAAATTATTGTTTACTTGGAAAAAAAGGAATAAGGAAACTCCGACTCCGTGCACTGGGAATGCAGAGCGGTCGCATCCGTAACAACCAGATTCGTGCATCCTCAAACTGGAACCGTTACCACGGTGCCTTCCTGGCCAGACTCAACAGACGTGCACGAGGCAGATACCAAGGTGGTTGGTCAGCAAGATACAACAACCGTAAACAGTATATTCAAGTAAGATTACTAAGGCAGTCTATTAATTCTACATTTTTAATACAACTATTAACGTTTTAACATATTTTAGGTTAGTTTCCGTCGTGTTAAAAAAGTAACCGCAGTTGCGACGCAAGGCCGCCAGAACGCCAACCAATGGGTCACGCGTTACTACATCACCTACAGCTTGGACAAACTTCACTATAGACCATACGTTGTAAACGGTCGAAGAAAGGTAAATATGCAGCTATTTATGGTTTATACGACGGCCATGTTGGGGGAATAGTCAAAATCTTTTGTTATATCCTCCAACATGGCCGCCGTGTCTTTTGTTATTTAATTCTCTTGGGAATGATTGAAAACCACCAATGCAGCTTTGGGAAGGGATTAGAGACACGGTCTACCTTTTTTAGATTTAGTGGTGCTCCAAAAACTCTCTAGGAAGACTTACTTTTGTAGTTGAATTTACTTTATATTGTTTAACACAGATATTCCGGGGTAACAAAAACCGCAACACAATAGTTCGACACGTTCTGAAACCAAACATCATTGCAAGAAGTATTCGTATTCACCCAGTCAGCTGGAGAGGTCATATTTCCATGAGACTTGAGCTGTATGGTCGCAATACTGGTATGTTTTTAATTGAATTTAATTTTATATTTCGCTAGTAGACACATGACTCAAAGCCTATCTTCAAGGAACAATACACCAATTAGGTGTTCCGATTCGGACAATAGCAAACCCATCAGCGTTGTAGCAAATTTTAGCTAATTTCATCAAGCTAGTGTGATATAGAAGCGGTAACTAAGAGTAGGCGCAACCATGAACTACCAAAACTCTATACAAATATACAAATATCCATCCCACATTCAATTCATTAAGAAATGAAATAATACAAGACATTGAGGGTGTTGACAGCCAAGGTTTCTTTTGTGCACGGTAAGGTAATGTGGGAGAAGAGACTGTGATTTTACGTTGTCGTCCGAGCCACGTGAACGTCCGAGCCACGTGAACGTAGATGTAATAATAAACTTAAGGCAGCTTCTTCAGTCATATTAAGAGCCTGACTTTTGGCGATGCCAACCGTCTCTGAATTAAAACTTTTACTTTCTCTTATTAGCCTGCATAGCGGCGCCCTAGGGGGTTCGGCGCCGCTACGCACGCTATCCTTTTTGGAGTTAGTTACGTTTTTGAAGGGGGTTAGTAAGCCTTTGATGTCCTGGATAATAATTAACTTGGATAATTGGCTTTATATATCGATACGCGAATTTTGCGTAACCAAATCATAATCAATATTTTTGGTTCCATTTTTAGTTGTTCATATTTCTTTTAATCTTTAGCAACCAAATCTTTACCTCTTGGAGTCGAAGATGGCCGTATTCCTGACTCAGCATTCAGCGCCTCATCCATGTGGGACCGCAAGCACAGACCAGCAAATGCTAGACTCAACTTATATCGAAGGGGACAAGCAGGGGCATGGTGTTCAAGGCACAACAGATATGGCCAGTGGTTACAAATTGATATTGGAAGCCTGGCTCTTGTGACTGGTATTGCTACCCAGGGAAGACACGACTATAATCAATGGGTGAGAAAATACCGACTGAGGTACAGCAGAGACGGACGAAGATTCCCGTTCTACGGAGCCGGCAGAAGTATCTATGTAAGTATAGTTTCAATGAAGTGATACGTGACTGTCATGATTTGATAAGAAAGTTGATAAAAGTAGATAAATTAGCTTTTATTGGTTTGTGATTCAATGAAGTCATATTTAATTGTCATGGCCCCGCCCATGAGAAAATTTTCCGCTTCACCGCACTTTAGTAAGAAACAGCACAATGTTTGATTCTCTTTCTCTCAAAGTAACCTCAGCTTGTGATTTCCGTTTTCTTGGTATTTTCGGTCCTCGTCCCCGTGACGAATTCAGCAGTATTTTGAACGTTAGTCAAAGTGCGAACAAGGATGGCTGGTTTTATCGATTTTTCTAATTCAAAGAAACAATTAAATGCAATTACCTTCTAATTTGGTGACAAGAAAAACAAACTTATTCAATGGTTCATAGTCAGCACAGGTCGCTGGTTTATGGTAGCGCCTTTACATTTCAATTTTTTTGATTGTTTTGGCTCCCTAACTCCCTAACATTTTTCATTGTGGATACTGCATAAGATGGTAGAAACAGCTGCTATTGTAGTATGTGTGTTTTGTTTGTTTGTTTGTTTTGTGTGTGTGTGTGGGTTGTTGTTGTTGTTGTTTTTTGTTGTTGTTGTTGTTGTATTAAAAGTAATTATTTTCATTTCATTTTTTTTTTTAGAGCTTCCGTGGTAATAAGAACAGGAACTCTGTCGTATTCCAACGTTTACGAAGACCCATCTCTGCTCGATATGTCCGTATCTACCCACAATCCTGGCATGGTCATATGTCTATGAGAGTTGAACTTTATGGTCGAAGATACGGTAAGTTTACTAATCAAGATCCGAAGTTCCAATGCATTTTTGTGCGGGTTGTGTGACGCAAAGTTGCTAAAGCGTTACAGGTTTTTGGTAACTAATTTTATTCAAATATGTATATACACAACGTTATGTATAAATGAATAGCTTACTATGGTATGGTAGAGGAATTCTGGAAATAAAAATGAAACTATTCTTTGGTCAGACAGGATATCCTCGAGCCTAACCAAAGAATAAGTGGCTGTGCGAACACCTAAAAAACATGACTAAAGCGTTCTTTGTCAAATTGAATTTAAATTGGTACTAATCGTGATAATTGGTGATAATTGCTCTATACGAGCAAATATGAACAGATATAAACTCACGATAGTGTTAAAAAACAAATTTAAGCGAATTATTGATACATAGACTGTACCGGCGTCATAAAGAACTTTATTCTTCTACAGAAAACAGCTTTATCACTGTTGTTGAGTTCTTTCTAAATAAAAATTAGAGATGAAATTTTCATACAGCACTAAATATAAATCATTGTGCTATTTAGCTAAAAAACGTCTACCTGTCTCGTGTGGTATTTCCAACAAGCGACTACCCAACAGATACATCACAGCTTCAAGTCAATGGAACAAATACCACGCCCCATGGCTCGCTCGTCTACACCTGAAGCGAAGAGGCAGGTACATGGGTGGATGGTCTGCCAAGAGAAACAGACGTGGAGAATGGATTCAGTTTGACTTGAGAAGGTTTAAAAAGATCTACAAGATCGTCACCCAAGGTCGAAGCCACGCCAACCAGTTTGTAAAGAGTTACATTGTTAAGTACAGTTTGGACGGACGACGCTGGGTGCCCTACAAAGTGAACAGTGTGGTTAAGGTATTCCCTCATCTTCAAAAGTAAAACCCGCAATATTTTCTCAAAACAATCCGCTATTTTTCTCCTTGCTCCTTTTCTTATTTAATACAACAACTCTCTAGTATTATTCTTTTATTAATTTGTTTGTATGCCAATTTATTTACCATTGGAAGCATCCTCCATCCTCTATTCTAGTTAGTGTGTGACAAATATTAGAAAATAAGTTGCCATTTAACATATTTTTTGCACTTAGGTTCTTCCTGGAAATAGGCATCACAAGTCAGTGAAAGAGAACTTGTTTAACCCTCCCATCATCGCACGCTTTGTTCGTATCTACCCATGGACTTGGCATGCACATATGTCGCTGAGGGCTGAGTTGTATGGCTTCAACCAAAGTAAGTTTTTGCGCAATAATTCAAAAAGCGAATGCGATAACTACAGCTATCTTGATTCATTTTTGATGTAAAACTCTCTCAATTAAGTATTTGAATTGTCTTTCTTTCATTCAACTTTAGATAAGCGTAATGCTGATAAACGCTTTTAAAAAAACCTCTCTTTTCCAGGAAAAAACAACGTTCCTATTGGTCTGGAAGATGGCAAGATTCCCAACTTTGCCATCAGAGCCTCCTCACAGTGGGATGGTAACCATGCACCATATCTTGCTCGTCTTAACAACATTAGACGAGGAAGGAAGGTTGGTGGATGGTCTTCCAAAAAGAACCAACGAGGACAATGGATTCAGGTTGCTTTAGGATCATACACAACCATCACAGGCATTCGTACTCAAGGTCGTCAAGATGCCAACCAGTGGGTCAAGACATACACTGTAGCTTACAGCAATAATGGAAGGAACTTCAAAACGTACAAATTCCGTGGACGCGCCAAGGTAAGCAAACGAATGAATATAGTAATCATAGAATTGAGGTTATTAGAAATTGGTTGATATATTTCGGGTTTTAGTTTGTTTGTATTCGAACGCATACCTAAATGATTGGCAACGGGTACTTTTTATATTATTTCTAGGTATTCCAGGCAAATAGGAATCGAAACACCGTCGTAACTCGTCGACTAAGACCAGCAATTCGAGCACGTTACGTCAGAATCTATCCAAGAACCTGGCAGGGTCATATGTCCCTGAGAATGGAAGTACTTGGAAGACGAAAAGGTTTGTATGATTATTCTATGCTGCTATCCTCTATTCTATATTATTCTAACTGTCTTGTCTAGTCCCCTGCTATTACAGTAAGCTACTACCAAATTTTCTGTTATCAATAATTCGTATCATTATATATTTCACTCAGTAAAACTTGTACTATATATAATCGATTGATTGATTCTAGGTATTTTACGAACAGAACCGGGTTATTTTTTTCATATATCTAATTTCTTCATACGAATTCTCAGCTTTGCTCATCAAGAGGTTGGGATTTTCAGGGAGTTTTTTCTCATTAGTTCAACATACTCATAAACCAAGATTTTCGAATCAATATTATTATTCACTGACAAATTGCTTCAGGACGAGTAATAAAACCCCCACGACGATTACGGGCCCTTGGAATGCAGAGCGGTCGCATCCGTAACAACCAGATCCGTGCATCCTCGAACTGGGACCGTAACCACGGTGCCTTCTTGGCCAGACTCAACAGACGTGCACGAGGAAGACTTCAAGGCGGTTGGTCAGCAAGGCACAACAACCGTAAACAGTACATACAGGTAACATATCAACCTAGCTAAATTATCAAATAAAATGAGTAATCGAATAATGAAGGTTATTTTTTGAACGAATAGCCAATTACATTGTTATTTTTTAATAGCATATATATTGTAATTATAGGTCAATTTCCGCCGTCCCAAAACCGTTAAAGCCGTTGCTACGCAAGGTCGCCAGAACGCGAACCAATGGGTAACCCGCTACTACATAACCTACAGTTTCGATCGAGTACGATACGTTCCTTACAAGTCTCTTGGACGAACAAAGGTGAGGAGGAGGCTAAATAAACCATGATCATTCTTGTGATATCCTTTCTTCGGTTTTAAAGAAAACTTTTAATTTCTGCCCTACAAACCACTTTGAAAGTAAGACTTTGTTGTTCTTCTGTTCGCCAATCAAATGAAAACTTGATAGGTAAATCGTTTCCAGAATATATTGGTAAGTTCGTGCAAATTATGTTTTTAATATATTTTAACCAATTCATTTACATTTTTAGATATTTGCTGCCAATCGTAATCGTAATTCAGTGGTTCTTAGACGACTACGACCAGCCATCAGAGCTCTAAGTATTCGCATCCACCCCGTCAGCTGGAAGTCACACATTTCCATGAGACTGGAGCTGTACGGAAGGAACGCAGGTTTGTTGATCTTCTTGTTTGAGGAAAGTGTGCATAAGTTATCTCAAATTCCTTCCTCGAAAAATGGTCTGGCACACTTTTTTTTTCTTTTCAAAAGTTTAATGATTTTTATCGCAGATATAATCTTATTTTTGAGAAAGGTTTCGATGAAGAGGATATATTCTCATTCTAAAATTAACACCATTATAATTTTCAGCTATAAATCGTTTGCCTCTTGGTGTTGAAGACCGTCGTATTCCAGACCGTGCTTTCAGCTCATCTTCCATTTGGGACCGCAAACACAGAGCTGCAAATGCTAGGCTCAACTTATATCGACGAGGACAAGCAGGGGCCTGGTGTGCAAGACACAACCGACGTGGACAGTGGCTTCAAGTTGATATTGGAAGTCTTGCCCGAGTTACCGGTATTGCTACCCAAGGACGAAAGGACTATAATCAATGGGTGAAAAGCTTCTACGTAAAGTATAGTACAAATGGAAGACGATTTATACCCTACAGACATGGAAGAAGAACGGTGGTAAGCAAATAACCGTCATTATTTTATTTTTCTTCATTTTCTGAGGTTTAATGAAATTAAGAAAGGAAGACCAAAAATATGATCCTTTATAAAATTACTCTTGATGCATTGTGGATTATTAGGTTATGGATGAAAGAAAAACATATTATAATTTAATAGGTTATGGATTTAAAACGCTGTTTTCTTTCTACCTGTATAGATATTCCGTGGTAATCGTAACAGGAATTCCATAGTATACAACCGATTTGTTCGTCCTCTGAAAGCACGTTTTGTACGTGTTTACCCAAGAACCTGGCATGGACACATTTCTATGAGGTTGGAACTGTATGGACGACGATACGGTTAGTACTGCATTCATTGAACAATGGCTTTTTGGATGGTTTCTTTCTGTGTTTTGGAATAGTATTCATAATAAATCCAGTACAATTAAGCTTGCATTGGTAGAAGAAGGACTATAGAAAAAGAGCCATAATTCTACTTACTTCTTCTGTGTGTGTAAGGGAGCTGTGGATTAGAGCTATGCCCTGAGTATCCGGTCTTTTAAGAGCTACTAAAGTGAAAAGAACTAATTGACAGACATTGTTTCTATTAACCTACTAAAACTTCACTGTTATCTATATTAGCTCGTCCACGTCCTCGTATATTTCCAAGTGGAATTTCCAATGGCCGTCTGCCCAACAAATACATCACAGCATCCAGCCAATGGGACAAAAACCACGCCCCATGGCTCGCTCGTCTGCACCGTAAACGACGTGGACGTCTAGTTGGAGGATGGTCGGCCCGTAGAAATAACAGGGGACAATGGATTCAGTTTAACTTGAGATCACCAAAGAGAATCTACAAGGTTGTGACTCAAGGACGAAGCGATACGAATCAGTGGGTGAAAAGCTTTATCATCCGCTACAGTCAAGATGGAAGACGATGGGTGTGGTACAAAAGAAACAGTGTAACAAAGGTAAAAATAAATTTGTTTCTGTATATTGTGATTTATTAATACTAGCTTTAGGAAAATCGATTWAAAAAAAAAAATCACACAAAAGCCTTTTTTAAACATAGTCCTTTGCTGATGTTTTTTTCGGAATGGCCTAATAATAGGACGTTTGCATTATGGCGTCATTTGAATCCCACTTCCATGATGCTTCGCGTATTTTCTTTCTAATTTAAATTTGTATTTCCCTGTAAGACAATTGGTGCTAACTACCTGAACAAAAGAAAGTGTGCAAGGGAGCCTGGTAGAAGACGTCAATGACGCCATCATGCAAACGTCCTTTTTGGGTGCCATGCATAGTAGGGGACCCCTTGTCGTTTTGTTTTATTACCTGAAATTTTAAAATGATTTTTTTCCTCTATTTTTTTTATATATTAGGTTTTCGCTGGCAACCGTGACAGAAACTCTCTAAAAGAAAATGTCTTCAGTCCAACGATCACAGCTCAGTATGTAAGAATCTACCCAAGAACATGGCAACGACATATCTCCCTTAGAACTGAGTTCTACGTCAGACCAGCCAGTAAGTTATAGTTTTCCACGAAAATGGAATATGTGATGACTCAGAGTGATTACTGTGTTGTAAATATTCAGTTTGTGGATCTAGCCTACAACTTGCTTTCAAAACGATGGGCTATTCAGAAACTAAAATCCAACATCCATATTTCAACTTATGAATCGTTATGATGTATAAATCTGTTGGGGAGAAAATGTTGGTATAAATGATTTTTTATCCTTTCAAAGATATAGACCCCTTGTACTAATTCCCAATCAAATTGGGGAGTCAAAATTTAAAAAATCTTTCAACTTGAGGATTGAAATATTTTATGTTGTTAATATGTTCAATTGTCTTTATCCCCAGGTAGGAATTTAGGGCCTGTTGTGTGAAGTGTATTGTAATACCATAATGTTTTTCTGTTTTTGTTACCAGGTCGTTATGTTTTGCCATTGGGCATCGAGGATGGAAGGATACCTTCAAAAGCTATTAGAGCTTCATCACAATGGGACGGCAACCATGGACCATCACGTGCTCGACTCAACACTGTTCGACGTGGAAGGAAGACAGGAGCATGGTCYGCTAGAAAGAATAATAGACGACAATGGATCCAAGTKGACTTTGGAAGAGCWACCATCATCAGTAAGATTCTTACCCARGGTCGTCAAGATGCGAACCAGTGGGTCAAGTCATACACTGTATCGTACAGCAACAATGGAAGACGCTTCAGACCCTATAGAGTAGGAAGAAGAGTGAAGGTAGGTTGATAGCTTATAAAATTGAAACGTTTAAAGAACTTCTTGAATTCATTATATTAATTTGATGTTTTTAAGGTGTTCCTTGGTAACAGAGACAGGAACACTGTTATTGTTCGTCGCTTGAGGCCTTACATCCGAGCTCGATTTATCAGAATCAATCCACGAACCTGGCAATCGCACATCTCTATGAGAATAGCGTTCAGAGGAAAACGATTAGGTAAGTTACATAATTTCATTTTATAAGCAAAAATGAAAGAAAGAAAACACAAGACTCTTTTATTTACAGGAATAAAAAAACCTCGCCTCCGTGCCCTTGGAATGCAGAGCGGTCGCATCCGTAACAACCAGATCCGTGCATCCTCAAACTGGGACCGTAACCATGGTGCCTTCTTAGGTAGACTCAACAGACGTGCACGAGGAAGATATCAAGGTGGTTGGTCAGCAAGATATAATAACCGTAATCAGTATATTCAGGTGGGATACTAGTGCCATATTCAGTCTCTTAAGTATCCTATGAGATTTGATTTTTATTAAGTAATTTTACTATATTTTTGTTTTATCTTGTGGATTTATTTGTTAATATTTCTCATCTTAAAGGTTAATTTCCGTCGACCCAAAACTATCTCAGCGGTTGCTACACAAGGTCGCCAGAACGCCAACCAATGGGTTACTCGTTACTACATCACTTATAGCCTAGATACTGTACATTATATTCAATATAAGTCACGTGGTCTAGTAAAGGTAAAGAAAATATTCTACCTAGTGTAGTTTTACATAGCCTTTTTACAAACTGGTTATTAAAGGATTGGCGAAATACTAGTTCCCTCCCTCAGTAAAAATTAGCTCTTGAATTGAGTGTTGTGTGTTCTAAATATAGAGTGTGGTGGTCAGTAGTGTGTGTGGAGGGAAACTCACGGAAGAGCCCCTTACGGGGATTGATGGTTGTAAAATATAGGTTTTTCTTCATAAATTCACGAGGTTAATGATGTATATATAAGCATCAAGAATTTACCAAAACTTTAACTAATTGCCGGATTGAATGGAACAGCTTGTTTTATAATGACATTTTTTCTTCTTTCGTTTTGTGACTACATCAATAAGAAAAATTCAATGATGTTTGAGTATATAAAGTTCATTTTCTATTCGATAAAAACATCGTTTTCAAGACAATATATTGTCTTGTCTACTTGAATATACTCTATTAAAATGGTTTTTCCTTGGCATCTTTGAAGGTGTGGCAATACTTTACTGTATGGGAATTTATTATATCTCCTCAGGTATTCCGTGGAAACAGGAACCGCAACGGAATAGTTCGACACGTGCTCAAACCAAACATCAAAGCAAAAAGCATTCGTATTCACCCAGTCAGCTGGAAAAGTCATATCTCCATGAGACTTGAGCTGTATGGACGAAACGCTGGTATGTAAAGCATCCTTCATGTTGGTTCCAGAACGTCTAGTCTCATAAAACCCTTTTGATGACTTTTGATTCTATAAAATTCTAATTTATTGCACGTTAAATCATCTTATTATTTCAGCAACCAGATCTCTTTCTCTTGGAGTCGAAGATGGCCGTATTCCTGACTCAGCTTTAAGCGCCTCGTCCATGTGGGACCGCAAGCACAGACCAGCAAATGCCAGACTCAACTTATATCGAAAGGGACAAGCTGGTGCATGGTGTTCAAGACACAACAAATATGGCCAGTGGCTGCAAATTGATATTGGAAGCCTTGCCCTCGTGACTGGTATTGCTACCCAGGGACGACAAGACCATAGTCAATGGGTGAGAAAATACCGACTGAGGTACAGCAGAAACGGACGACGTTTCCCGTTTTATAGAGCTGGAAGAAGGATTTATGTAAGTCTAATTTCTTGTACTCATACTAAAATTTTTGGATTGAAACTTAGTCTAAAATTAGAATTGTTAGAATTATTAGAAGTATCTATAGATTAGTACTTGTAGATTAAAATCGAAGGAAATTTAGACAAATTTGTAAACAGCATGCTTTATTACAGAGTTTACGTGGCAACAAAGACAGGACTTCCGTGGTTTTCCACCGTCTACGACCCTTCTCTGCTCGATATGTCCGCATCTACCCACAATCCTGGCACCGTCATATGTCTATGAGAGTTGAACTGTATGGTCGCCGATACAGTAAGTTATACTAAAATTAAAACATGAAATAATGGTTCGTTTTATTTTACAGCTTGTGTATTAATTTTCTTTGTGTTATAAAGCTCGTACTCGTAAACCTGCTGCATGTGGTATTTCCAACAAGCGACTACCCAACAGATACATCACAGCATCAAGTCAATGGAACCGATACCACGCCCCATGGCTCGCTCGTCTGCACCTGAAGCGAAGAGGCAGGTACATGGGTGGATGGTCTGCCAAGAGAAACAGACGTGGAGAATGGATTCAGTTTGACTTGAGAAGGTTCAAAAAGATCTACAAGATCGTCACCCAAGGTCGTAGCCACGCCAACCAGTTCGTCAAGAGTTACATTGTTAAGTACAGTTTGGACGGTCGACGCTGGATGCCCTACAAAGTGAACAGTGTGGTTAAGGTATTTATATTATGTTCATTAACTTACAGCGGATTGAAGAAATATGCGTATATTATCTAATATCTTTCGGTCAGCTTCCTTAAAGAGGTCTTATACTTCTTCTTCATCCGTGTAGCAAGCATGCCTTTCAACATTATTTCTTCATATGTCGACGTTTGACATGAGTCTAAGAAACCATTTGCAAAATAAATTAGTAAAAACTCAACAATAACATAAACTGGTCATTATGTGTTATATAGGTACTTCCCGGAAACAGGGATCACAAGACAGTCAAACAGAATGTGTTTAACCCACCCATCATCGCTCGTTTTGTTCGTATCTACCCATGGACTTGGCATGCACATGTGTCGCTGAGGGCTGAGCTGTATGGCTTCAACCAACGTAAGTGGTCGAAAGGTTACGAGTTCTACTAGTCAGTTATAAATATCTATTTTTTTTATTTCTATTGGAAATATTTTCTTTGTTTTTTTTTTCTTTGTTTTTTTGTTTTTTGTTTTTTT